CCACTGTCTCTCTTCCTTCCAGCCCAACCTCAACTCTTCCTGCCCAGGCTCCAGCAATACTCAACACACCAAGCTCCCAAACCTGGCTTCCTTTCTCCCTGGAATGCCCTCTCTCCCTGCCCCCTCCGCACACCTTCCTCTGGTTACCCCCACCCCAACTTGGAAGCACCCCATGACCAGCTGCCCCCGACCCAAGGCTGGGGCAGGTGCCTGTCTCGGCTCCCGCGATGCCCTGCGCTCTCCCGCGGGTCTGGAAAAGTCCTGAGAGGACGAGGTGTGTGCCTGACTCTGCCCTCCCGCGCTGCCCCACGTGGCAGGCATTCAGCACAGGCTCGGTGGATGAATGAACGCACAAGATTAATTGATCAAAGTGCTAAAATTGCCAAGAAGTTTAAACGTGCCCCCTTCTGTTTTACACCAAGCATGAGCTCATCAAAAACTCCCCCACGAAATGACTTCTGGTCCACGCCGGCACTTGCCACGGAACCATTTACAAACTTCACGCAAAGGCAATGAGGCAGGCGTCAGGGCAACCCACCCGCAGGACACAGCCAGATCCAGGCACAGCGCTGCCTCAGCCCCGGGAGGTGGGCAGAGAGAAAGAGCAGAGAACCAGAGCTTCAGGGAGAAGTCAGCTCAAGAAATGTCTGGTTCCATCCAGTAAAACTGAACTGAGAATCATTCCTGTCAGTTTTCCGGGGGAGAAGGTGAGGCACAGACAGGGTAAGGGCCTCTCCCAGGGAAATGGAGCAGGTCGGCAGAAGGGAAGAAATAGCTTCCGAACTTCCTAGAAATCTTACTCCAAAGCACCGACTTCAGCCTGGGCTGTGAGAATCACAGGCAAGGATTCTGGGAATCCACAGCCCACAGCCTTCCCTCCCCCTTCCTTCTTGCTTTTAAATATCATGGGCTAGGAGGAAGCACTGGATCTGAACGTTTATTTACCATTCCTTAGCCTGACCTTCCCGGAAGAATGTCACTAATGAGAAACAATCTACTTGGGCTCCCAAACCCAGAATTTTCATAGGGATCAATTTAGGATTTCAGAGCCTAAACACAGCAAGAGTAATACGGACTGTCTTCTCTTCGAAGGGAAAAAAAAGCAACTGAGTTTTTCCTGTCAGGAAGGAAGTTTTGTATATGCCAAACAAATGTCAGCATGAGGTCACATCTTTCCCTTGTTCTGACCCCTTCTGGTCCTCCACTGGGAGTAGGGAGGGCATCACCTTCATGTGCTGTGGGTGGAGGGAAGTCGAAAGGAAAGGAAAGTGCTAGTAGAAACTGAAGTTTCCCTGATTCAAGAACTGACCTCACAGGGGGGCTAGGGCCAGGAACTCTGCTCTCGAGACCAGAGTCCAGTCTCATTCACATCCAAATGATGATTGTTGTGTTATGGAGGAGACACTGCGTCCCAGCGGAGTGTACACTCCGTGAAGACGGGTCCATCTGTCTTGATCTCTGCTCTATCCCAGCGCCCGCAAATGCCTCTCACATAGTAGGTCCTCCTAGTAAATGAGTGAATTAAACAATTAGCCAGTGCGAAACAGCCACATAGAAACAAATAGAAATGGTATCATTTCCATTTGAAAAGGAATTTTTCTCAGCGGGTACAGAGATTTCTTTTTTAAGTTTTCCACAGCAGAACCTAGAATTTTCTGGCTCATCTGGTCAGTCCATCTCACTTGGTCTAGGAACAATACATCAGTGACCAATGCTACTGTAACCCAACTGGTTATTTAAACCGTGTGAACGGTGAACTCACAAATTCTCTTTAAACTCTGCCTCCCATCTGGCTGTGTCGGTGGGTCATAAAACCTCTCAGGTGTTAGATGCTCTGTTTCATTTAGTCTCAGCTTAACAGAGACCACTCTGCACCTACTGCGGGGCTACCACAGCTGGGCATCCCTAGGGTCTCAATAAATGGCCACTTGGTATCAGAAGGCAGCAGTATGACTCCCTCCAGGACCAGCTCTGTCCCATAGCACTCTGCCATCAACTTCTTCCCCTTCAGGAAGAAGCCCTGACTTCCTTCTCCTGGGAAAAGGGGGGTGCCTTGAGTGGTTTAAGCTGTGTTGTGTGAGCTGCAGACGGCCTGGGAGACCATCAATGTTGGGTGAGAGACCATGGATTTGAACACAAATTCTGGTTCTGCCACTAAGTGGCTGTGTCCACCCTGGACAGCTGGCTCCTTTCTGTGGCCTGTCTCTTTCTTTGTAAAACAGCGATAATTGTGCCTACTTCGTGAGGTAGTAATGAGACCTAAATAAATCAGAGTTTACAGACTATGTGAGACAGTGCCTGGCACACTGGAAGTACTCTGTGTTAGTTAGTGTTTCTGTCTGTACAGTGACCTCTGGTTCTCCGGGACCTCTCTGTCCTCCTCAGCAGGAGAACTCAGTAACCGCCCTGGCAGGTTTGGCTCAGCAGTTAGAGCATCCTCGCTCGGACCTGAAGGTCTCTGGTTTCATTAACTGGGTTGCAGGTTCAATCCCCGACCCCGGTTGGGGTCATGCTCAAGCTTGTGCGAGAGGCAACCTATCGATGTATCTCTCACATCGATGCTTCTCTCTCTCTCCCCTTCCCTCCCTTTCCACTCTATCTAAAAATCAGTAGAAAAATATCCTCAGGTGAGGATTAACAAAACAAACACACAAAAACCCCAGTAACTGCAGTTGCCATTTCTGTGTGTTTTCTATGCACCTGCCTCATCAAACTCTTCATAGACCAGCTGTGGATCAAGGTAAGAGCTTGCACTAGTGATTTCAAAGGGGAACAGCCAAAGCTCCTCTATGGACTCTGTTTGGCATGGTCCTAGGACAAAACCCCCCAGAGGGGCAACTCCAGATACCCATGCGACCCGAATGTAAATCTATCTGGGGCTTCCTGCTGCCTCAGTTCAACTGGCAACACCATCTCAACACGGAAATTGGTCTGTCCAGAGAGGGAGAGTAGCAGGAGGAGAAGTTCTAGTTCTGGGTTTGGGAAGGGGTGGAGGTCCCTAGGTATCTCTGTTGAGCCCCAGCCTCTGGCTGTTCAGTCTGGGGTCAGGAGCCTTCCATCAATTCAGTGACATAACCTAGAAATCTGGGCTGCTGTTTCTGAATATTGTCACAATGATAATAATCTCTTAAATTAACACAGTTCATCACATCCATTGAAACACAAGTACTTTTCAAATATCTCTCATCGATGTGCGTGGCTCATTTTTATGATGAAAAACCTAAGGCTTAGTTTATCAGCTGAGGCAGAACACTTGGCCTTTAAGCCAGGCTGCCTGTTGAAACTGCTGGTGGAGGCTTCTGCTGTGTCACCCTTGCGTCTCCCACAGCACTCCGCTTGCTTCCTTTGTTGAGCAGATGAAGGTGGCCTGAATCGGCACTAACATCCTCCTAAAAGGAAAACAGTATCCACAGTGCAACCCAATAACTATTGAAAGACATTATGAATGGTCCAAAGTGATCATACAAGTTGCTTGCCCAGAGCGGGGATCCACTGGATCCCAAAGAATGGATTCCCATGGTGAGGCCAGAGAGGAACTTAATTCTGAGCCCAGCCTTCCTCTTGGCTGGAAATCCCAGCCCCAGGTGCTCTCATCTCACTGCCCGTCTGCAGTCTGTGATTAGGGGCCCTAATGGCCATAATGCCTCCAATGTGGTGTTTAAACCAATAAGGCTTCAGAGAAGTTACGGTATGTTTAATAATGGCTTAATGACTACTTGCGAGATGCAAGGCTTCTGGTTCCTGTTTGGCCTTGATTTATAGCCCGACTCCGGCTGAGGACAGCCAAGAAACCCCCCCGAAGCCCCCAGCGGAAGAGGGAGGTGTTCACACCAGGCTTCTTGGATTCCTTTAAAAACTGAGAATTCAAATGAAATACAAATGATGTTTGACTCCTCACCCTTCTCACTGGTCTCTTGAGGCACTGTAAATTTAAAATGGTGTGACCCATACTTAGGACTCCTCAATCCACAGAGAGGGCCCTTTGGTATTTCTTACCCCATCTTAGGTAGGGTGGGGGTTGATTCTCTTTTCAGAAATTCTAAGCTACTGTGCTAGTCCTATGCTTCCTTTTGGCTGGAGAGTCCCAATTCTCAGATGTGACCCTACTCTCCCCTCCCTGCAAAATGGCAGCCAGGGCAGCAGAGCCCTAAGGTCCAGGCTGCAGGCAGCCTCTCTGCAGTGGGGTCCCCAGGCACTTCCAGGTCATTTGCCCACTGAAAGGCATTCACTCCATGCCTGCTGTTCAAACTCAAAACCCGGTACATACTCCACCACCTGCTCCAAGGGCCGCCTCTCTTCAGTCCCGAGTTGCCTCTGCAAGTCTCCCTGTCTGCGCCAGCCCAGCCACTACTTCAGACCCACCCGGAATACTTAAAAAGACCCTGAGGATGGACTTGGTCTAACCTCCACAGTTAGATGAGGACAACAGCATGCTGTTTCCAGGTCCCACTGCTAAGTAATGACAGTGCCCCCCACCCCAGCCCCCATTCCCAGACCAGAGCTATTTCCACACAACACTCCCAATAACTCCTATCCCAGCGAGAAACAGAGATCCCTAAGGGAGGTGTTTTTGCTGGAGGAACGTTTACCCAGCTCCCAGCCAAGAGTTACGAGAAGTCCCAGCCCTTACCTGCCTCGGCCCTCATCCCAGGCTGTCAGGAGACTAGGCCTACAAGTTCTTTTTGGGGGGATGGAGGGAGGACTCTACCCCAAGCTGCCTCACCCCTCTAGAGGCAAGAGCCTCTAGACCGGATATCAGGACCAAAGGTACTGCTCACCAAGATGGGCAGACAAAAGGGTCTCTTCCCTGCTCCTCCAACTGCCTCGGATACGCGGGCTGGGGTGAATCAGGGGGCTCCCGGGCTCCGAGGGGTTAACCCGCGCGGGGCCGCACGTGACGTGGATGGTTCCAGCGAAGGCGCTGCCCCCTCCCATGTACCCCGCCCCCACCCCCGGCGGCGCACGCCGCTCCCGGGGGCTCCGCGCCCCCGCGTCCAGGTCCCTCCCCCTTGGCGGGTTCTCACAGGCCGCGCGGGCAGCGCGAGCCCCGGAGCCCCGGCGGCCTGTGCGCCCCGAGCCGGCATGAATCCCGAGCGCTGCGCGCCTTTCGGCGTAGAGCCGGGGCCGGGACCCGACCCGTATGCGGCCACGGGGGACGAACCCCCAGGCGCCCAGGGAATCTCCGCCGCTGTGCCTCACCTGCACCCCGTGCCGCCCCGCGGTCCGCGGCTGACCCGCTTTCCGGCCTGCGGGCCCATGGAGCCCTACCTCCCAGAGCCAGCCAAGCCGCCGGCCAAGTACCTGCAGGACCTCGGGCCCGGCCCGGCGCTCAACGGCGGCCACTTCTACGAGGGCCCTGCGGAAGGTAACGCACAGTGCGGGGTGCAGCGCGCAGCCGGACCCGCTCTTCTTCCCTCCCCGGCCCGCCCCAGCCTCCCTGCTTCCCCTCCCGTCCCGCTCGCCCATTTCTCAACTCTGTGACCCTCTCGCACCGCGCCACGGCTCCCTCGGAAGCGGGACCCGCTCTGGTCCTGGCCGTGCAAAAGCTGGCGAGGTGCGGGAGACAGAGCCATGCGTGCCTTCGGCTGCGGGAGTGGGAGGCGGGAGGTCGAGAAAGGGTGGAGCGGCGAAGGCTCCGGGCCCAGTCGGGCCCGAAGGCGGCCAGAGTCGGGAAGGAGAGCTCCTGCTTAGCCGGAGTGGGGCTGGAACTGTCACCTACCCAGAAGCCCGGACCGGGCCCAGGGCCCGGGCGCCACATTGAGCCTTGACCCCAACACGGGGAGAGAAGAGCAGCTTTTTTGTTTCTAGCTCCAGCTGCAGCCCCGAGATTGGGCCCCGGCCCAGAATGGCCAAGCCGGCACCCCCGAGGGCTGCGGCCTGGCCTCTGCCGGCCTGCCCAGGCCCAGCCTCCGCGCGGAAGGCGCTCGCGGGGTTACAGCGGCTGGTCCCGCAGTGCCGGGGCCATGCTCACTACGGAATAACTGTGCTCTTATTTCTTAGACTGACCTGGCCTCCCCGTCGTTATGCACGGCGATGGCCATCCTTCTCGCAGTCCTGGCTTCCTCGCACTGGATCGTCACCTCTGGGCCGTCGGGAGCAGCCTGGGCGGCCTAATCGCCGGGCGCCTCGGTACCCTGTGTGCTAAGGCCAGTTGAACCGCGCCATCTCCTGAGATCGCGCCGAACGCCGGGGCCTGGCAGGCGGGTCCGCAGCCCCGCCAGCGCCTACTGCACGGGCGGACCTGTAGGAAACTTGGTGCTCCCGCCCGTCCCCTGTGCGCTGCCACATCCCGCAGTTTAGGCCTAGAACTAGATCCCCCGAGATTGGCCCAACCCACCTCCGCCCCGCCGGCGCCTCCCGGGCCTCCGCGGAGTGGACAGGCAGCCCGGCCTTCGCCCAGCCGGCGGTGGGAATGTGTAGAGGAGAGCGGGAGGTGTGTGGGGGTCAATGGAGGAAATGAGCGAGGCCGCGGAGCTTCGTGTCTGTGCCCTTTGAAAGAGGCTCTCCTGATAAAAACCACAGTTGGGACTTAATGAGAAGCAGTTGGCCTGGCTCCTCTGATCCCAGCCAGAGGCAGCGGTCGCGCAGCGCCGACAGCACCGCCGGGGACAGGTATCCAGCCTAGCTGGGCGCGCGGCGTCGGGCAGGGCCCACTCCCCCGGCGCGTGTCCCTGCTGGGCGCGCCGGATCCCGCACGGACCGCGGGGGCCAGAACCCGCCTGGCGCAGAGCAAACCGTGGAGAGCGCTGGAGCAGTAGGAGCCGCGGGAGGAACAGGCAACCGCGAGTGGGGTCAGCAACGAAATGCGCGGAAGGAAAACCAAAGAGTGTAAACAACCAAAAAGAAGAGAAAGGGAATTGAACAAACATCGGAGGAGAGGGGCGATAACGAAAGGCAGAGGCGCTCGGCGAGCTGGGCAAAACGGAAAGGAACAAACGAACGAACCAGAAAAAAAAGCAAGCGGAGATCGAACGACGCGGGTAAACGGAGGAGGGAAAACACGAAGAGAGTAGGAGCAGACAAAACGAAAGAAAATGGGGACATCCTAAACGAACAGAAAATAGCAAAATGAGAACAAGTGGGAGAAGAAAATAAACGATTCAAGCTGAGCGGAGACAGGCCAAACGAAAAGGAGACGCAGCGGGTGCGAGCGGAGCCTGGGAAGAGCCCTAGTGTGCCCGGTGCCCCGGCTGGTGCTCGGCGGGCGGGCGGGCGTCCCTGCGGCGGAGCCGGGCGGCTGGGGAAGGGGCCCTCGGAGTTCGGGGCGCGCAGTCTTCGCGTGGGACATGGCGGGCAAAGGGGGAACCCGCCTTATTTCCCGGCTTTTAAAATAACGGGCACGGATGTTTCCAGTTCAGACCAGTGAGCGCGCAGCTGCTCCCCATCTGCGGCGCGATCTTGGCCGCGGCCGGGCAGTTGCGCGCCCCAGAGCCGAGCGCACTGCGCGCCTCTATTGCCCTTGGCCAAGAGCGCTCAGCCTAGCTGTGGACCCAGCTGCGCCCACGCGGTGCTGGTCACCCTGGTGCCCTATGCGTGTGGGCTGCTCAGAGCACCGGAGAGATGCCCGGCGGGTCCTTCCTGCTGTGCCCGGGACCGTGCAGTCTGTCCCGTCGCTTGGCCCCCTGACCTCAAAAATCGTCACCTGGCACAGAGACCCTGAGCTGGGTAACCGTAGGGGCCGCGCTCCCGGGGCGGACCTGCCTCGAGGAAAGTTCCAGGTCATCGCCCGGCAGAGGACTCTAGGCCAAGGCTGGGAAACTCTAGGGATAGCACCAGGCCCCACAGGGGTTTCACACGCGGCATTTATGTGGGAGCCCAGGCCTCCGCTAGCACAGAGGGTCGCTTGGGAAATGGCGTGGGCACCCTGCAAACTACCACGAAAGCTCAGAGCCGGGTGATTGGTCCTGCGGCCTCAGTGGACAACATCGTGGGGGCAGTGGGGCTCCCGGGAGGTGATCTGAATGCTGCACCCCGCGGGGCGGCCCCTGCTCGGAGACTGAGGCCAGCAGGGGTTCCGGCAGAGCCGGGAGCGGTGGGAGTGCTGCAGAGTGAAAGCGAGGCAGGGACCGAGCTCCGTGGTCCCTCAGAGGTCCGTGTTCCTGGCTCCTGTCTTTCGGCAGGACCGATGGCTGCTGTGGTGCTGCGGTTGTGCAGGCCCCGACATCCAGGCGCTGAGCTCCAGGCTCCCAGGCTCCAATCCGAGCACTTCCCCTTCACCGCCCAGTGTCCCCGCCAGGTGCAATTCACCTCCACACACAGCCTGTACACCCTGCGCCTTAGAGCACATCCTTCCCTCCGGAGCTTACATTCAAACTGCTGGCTTGCTGGACTGCTCTGCCTCTCACCTCCACCTCTTTTCTGGGCATCCATCCTGGGGAGGCTGCTTGGTGTTCTTTGAGGCCTGCCCCTATCTCCCAGAGAGGGGGATGCTCCAGGCAGATGGGGAAGGTTTCCAGGGCAGTGGCAAGGAGGGAGAAGTTTTCTGGTGCCCTGAGAAGTCTAGAATGGGCAGGCATGGGAGGCCACCCAAGGCCAGCAGGCTATATTCCCTTTTGGGGAAGCTATCCTGAGAAGTCCTGGTGCACACTCATCCTTGATCCTGGGGGGCTGATGGTTAGGAAGGCGAGTCCCACAGCTCCAGATCTGGTGACTTCCTCTCGGTAGATCCCTTTGGAACAGATACCGAGGGCCCAAGAGGCGGAAGAGCAAGCTTCAGAGGGAGCTCGAGGTGATGTCACTGCCCTCTGCAGCGAGGACCGCACTGCCCTGGCCCCCATCCCTGAGCCACACTCACCCTTTTCTCCCAGAGTCAGGCAGGACCTCCCGCTGAACCCCAGACACCAAGACCCTTCTCTCTCAGGCCTGCTGTGTGTGGGGATCCCCTTTCAGGCTGCCAGTCTCCGACCATTTCCATCTATTTGGTTCAACTTCCATAAGTCCTTCTTCCTAAACTTCTACCACATGGAATTGCCCTAGAACAATGAAACATGTGGCCCAGCATGGAAGCAGGGCCTGGAGCATTTTCTCCACTGTGCTCCCCCTGAGCGGTGAAGGAAACCTGGGCCTGGCCTGTCATTTGTGCACAGCCCAGCGCAGGCCCTACCTGACTCTCCCAAGCCTCCAGGACACACAACATGGAGCTTATTTCACCACCTGGGTGGTCCTGGGAGGTCTTTGACCACCTTCCAGCTGAGGGGCACCTTGTACAACTTGTCCTCCACAATGCAGACAGGGATTCGTCAGACCCAGAACCGCAGAAACCCATCTCTCCAGTCCCAGCCTCCCCTAACCACAGCTGGGATCCTGACACCAAGTCCTGAGGAAGAAACTGCCTCCTGGTGCCAGCTCGCTGGGCCTCCTGGGAGTCAGGCCCTGCTGGGGGTGGGCCCAGGGCCAGGGAAGGGGCTGTCTGAGTCAGTGGGGTGTTTTTGTTGCATGCTCCTCTTATCCCAGCAGACCAGAGTGGAGATTTCACAGTGACACTGCTGGGGGTCCTCACCAGAGGAAGAGAGCAGGGCAATTGGGGTGACCTATTTCTCACTGTGCCTGGCAGCGGCAGGACTCCACCAAGCTTCTGGGGTGAGGGCTAGCGCACTGGAGCGGGGCTGCTGGGGACTGTTCCCTGTCTGCAGTCAGGTCCTCCCTGTGTGGCAGAAGCTCCGAGGATGGAGGGGATAGACGTGATGAGAATGATGGAGTTGGGAGCTGTGCCGTTTCAACACTGGCCACCCAGCTCTCTCCAAGCACAGCTCGTCTCCGGCCTCTGCATTGCTGGAATTATGTCCTTACCCAAATATCACAATTTTGGGAGGAATGACACAATCCCTCCGGAAGCTTCTTTCATACCCCAGGTCTAGGGAATTTGACTCGGCCCCGAGACCTGGGGTCCAGAGAACGAGGCACAGCCAGACCAGCCAAAGGTTGCCAGAGCATCCCTGTCAGTATCCATGTCATGGGCACGAGGACATGGGAAGCAAGGGCTGCAGAGTCAGGGACAAGGAGGCACTTTCTGGCCGGGGCGGGGATGGATGTCAGCTGCCCATCCTCACCCCTCCTGCCGCCCCTGCTCGAGGCCCTGCCATGGCGCCAGTCCTGGCACCTCCACGCCCTGTGGGATGTGCCACCACGGAGCGCTTCCCCGAAATGAAACCCCTCCGGCCCCAGCAGATCCGCCCAGACCACAGACAGCATGGTTCCCCTGGGCCCCCTCCCCAGCTGGAGGCTCAGCAGGAAGGCCTCCTAATGCCAGGCTCCCTTGGAGGGTGGCTGCTGGAGGAAGGGAAGAAGAGGGAAGGGGAGGCGGGGACTGAAGCGTCAGCAGTCTTCCCCTCCCTTCTCCCACCCACAAAACCCTGGTTCGGTTTCCATCCTCCTTTCTGTGTTTCATTGCAGCCGAGGAGAAGGCCTCCAAAGCTACCAACTTCCCCCAGCTGCCCTTGGACTGCCGAGGGGGCCCCAGGGACGGGCCCTCTACCCTGCAGGGCTCCCCAGGTCCTTGCCTGGCTAGTCTGCGCATCCCTCTGTCCCCGGGACTCCCTGACTCCATGGAGTTGGCCAAGAACAAGAGCAAGAAGCGCCGTAACCGCACGACCTTCAGCACGTTCCAACTGGAGGAGCTGGAGAAAGTCTTCCAGAAAACCCACTACCCTGACGTGTATGCCCGGGAGCAGCTGGCTCTGCGCACAGACCTCACGGAGGCCCGGGTACAGGTGAGGCACCCTGGGCTCTCTGGCTGCCTTGACCACCCAGGCAGCGGGCCAGGCCATGGAAGGGCTAGGAGAGGCGGGCTGCACCTCACAGAGCGGCCTTTCCTAGGCGCCTGCCCCCAGCCTGCCCTCCTGGGCTTGCTCTCCATGCCCAGCTCTGCTGGGGCCACAGGCTGGCAGCCCAAGTGGAGGCTCATGCCTGGGTCTGGAGGTGATGGCCTCTGGGAGTCAAAAGACCGTGTGGCAGTCCCATCTCTGCCACATACTAGCTGACCAGGTGATCTGGGACATGCCACTGACTGTCTCGGTCTCAGTTGCCCGATTTAGGAGGAAGGACAGCACTGCCTACCTGGGGAGTGGTCTGGAGAAGCACTGATGGGCGGCACCTGGAGGCAGGGAAATGCTGAGCGGCATCAGGGCTGCTCCAGAGGGGGCTGCCCTGAAGGGGTGGGGCCTCACTGGGGGTCTTGGGCGCAGTGATACCCAAAGCCATTCTGAACCAGTGACCTTCAGCCCTACCCACATTCAGACCCTGGCCCAGAGCCCTGCCCCACCCAGCAAACCCTCCCAACAGGGATCAGGCCCCAGACTTCCAGGTGGGGCTGTGGCCAGCTTCATGAAGGGTGGGACTCAGCCTGTGGGGATGCAGGTGGGGATCGAGGGGTGCTGGGAGCAGAGGAGAGGGAGAAAGGAAGTCCATGTCTAAGACATTTTGGAAGTGAGAATGAACTTGAAGGTGGCAAGCAGGGGATGGGGAAGGGATAGGAGGCTTCAGTGAGTCTGGCTCATGAGCATGGTGGTCTCTGTCCCCTTGCTGTGAGCTGGCTTGGCTCACAGCAGGTCAGTGGGAGGCCGTGGGAGAGGGGATGGTGTGGGCCTCTGGGAAGAGGCGAGGAGGTGACCTCTAGACAGGAGACTTTGTAGGAGCAGAGCTCACTCTGTCAGCCCTGTGCGGGGCCTCTCTAGAGTCTGTGAAGTCATGGGGCAGGGCAGCTCTGGCAGAATATGGGACTGTAGGCCAGCTGCCATCTAGCAGAGAAGGCCCTGCAGCTGGATTCCACTTAGGACCAGAGGGGCTTAGGCCGGCTCCCCTTCTCTGCTGGTCCTCCTGCTTCCATGTTCCTTCCAAAGCAGAGCCTGGGGCCACAGGGCCCGGGGCCGACAGAGTGGAATGGCCCAGCCACGCAAGTCAGAACAGCAAGTCCCCGGAGGCCTCAGCCGGCCTCTAGGCTGCAGTCTGCTGGCTGCCCCTATGGAACTGCTTTGGGACATGGACCCCACTCCTCTCCTTGGCCTTCCCAACCCTGGAAGGGTGCGGGCATAGCCACAGGCCCCAGTCCAGAAGCTTCCCCGATGATCAAAGCCCTGGAGAAGGGGTATTTTCTCTGACGAGGAGGTGTCACTCACCCACAGGCCCCACTGTGGAGAGGAATGATAAGGCCACGTGTGGATAATACAGAGGGCAGGTCCGCAGTGCAGGTGGCAGCCTGCAGTGGGGACTAGGGAGAGCGGGCGACACAGGGAGAATTCCCAGGAAGGAGCAGCTTCTCTGCCTGCAGGGGAGGGAGAGGAGAGAAAGGGAGGCAGGAGCTGGGCAGGTGGGCTGGCCCTTCCCTGAGCTTGTCCAAGCCTGCTGTGGGGTCTCTGCAACAGAGGCCTGAGGTTAGGGGGTAGGGGTGTGCCCAGCTTCTTAACTCAGGGCCTTACCCACCTGCGTGGGTAGAAGGACTGTGGGAGAGTGTGAGGGGCTGGGGTGGGGTTACTTTTGCGAGTACACGCGTGCACACGCGCGCACACAGAGCTGCTTCTGTTGCAGCCCCAGCTGGATTCCCTAGAAAGCAGGGGAATGGTTTTGGTTTGGTTCAGTTTTGGTATTGCCAATGTCTAGCCCGGAGGCCGACACATAAATGTTCATTGAATGATGGCAATGCTAATGCATGTGCCCAGACACATAAATATAACAGTCCTGGGCCACACACCCAATGGCAGGTCCACCATAGACACGTACACAGATGTGCACAGCACACGACATGCCACCCCCAGCTGCCAGGAGCTCACAAATGAATGGGAAAGAGACTCCAAAACAAAGAGATGCTGGGGTATCGCGGAGTCCGGCGGACGGTGTCCAGCTCAGATGCGTGGAGTTCAAGGGGAATAGGTAGCGCAGGCAGGGAACCTGGCAAAGGCAGGGAGGAGCAGGGGGGAGCATTTCAAAGGCCAGCTGGGGTGGAGGCTCCTAGGAAGGACGGAGTTGCTGCCCAGCAGGAGATGAGGCTGTGGAGAGAGGCAGGGCTGGGGCTGGTTCAAAGCTGGGCTCTGAACTGAGACCTCCAGGAAGCCCCGAGGGTTTAAGCAGGACCAGGACCTGAACAGAAATATCTTAAAGATTCCTCAGACACCAAGAGGTAGGCAGACTGGAAAGGAGATGAGGCAGGGGGCTAGAAACCCCACCGCCTGTGCATTGCTACCCTCGGAAGAGGCCACAGAGCCTCCCGATACCCTTACCGGACACCCAGGCTGGAGAATCAGCCTGGGGAGTGGAGGTTTCTCCCAGGCCCCGCTCCCAGGCTCTGAGCACGATGTAGATTTACAAGCTCCTAACTTTCAAGATGTTCCAGCCCAGAGCCAGCTCCCACACTGTGGGACACAACCGTCAACTCTCTCCCCACCCTGCTGCAATCCTCAGGGCCTCTTTATCACCTCCTCAGCTTCTCCCCTGTGCCCCCAGGTCTGGTTCCAGAACCGCAGAGCCAAATGGCGGAAACGGGAGCGTTATGGGAAGATCCAGGAGGGGCGGAACCCCTTCACATCTGCCTATGACATCTCTGTGCTGCCCCGAACTGACAGCCACCCCCAGGTGAGAGGCCCCCTCTCATGCCCAGAGTCTGGACTTGACCATGTCCCATGGGGTAGCCAGTAAGAGTGTGAGCTCTGGCCCTGCGGAGACTTGGTGTGGCGTTGGGTCCTGTGTAACTGTCGGCAAATCACTTCCTCCTCTGCCCTGTGGGGCCCTCTCTGCGCCCGGTGATGCTTACGGGCAGCGGCACGAAGGAATCACGGAGGAGAGCCTCGCTTCCAGAAGCAGGGGCAGGGGCCTCCTGAGCTGCCTCTGCGAATGTTGGGGGTAGGAGGGGAGCAGAGTCCAGGCCTGGGCTAAGTGGAGGCTTCTTGGAAAGTGTCTGGAGCCCTAAGGGCGAAGAGAGAGCCCTAGTTAGGGAGGCAGCCCCCGAGCTCCTGGTTCACGAGCCTCTTTCTTTCTCTCTTTTCAGTTGCAGAACTCCCTGTGGCCCAGTCCAGGGTCTGGGAGCCCCGCCGGCCCCTGCCTCGTGTCTCCAGAGGGCATCTCCTCCCCGTGCATGTCTCCATACTCCCACTCACACGGGAATGTGGCTGGCTTCATGGGGGTGCCGGCCTCCCCTGGAGCCCACCCTGGCATCTACTCCTTCCACAGCTTCTCCCCCGCCCTGGGGGACCACAGCTTTGAGCCCTCCCCAGATGCCGACTATAAGTCTCCAAGCCTTGTCTCATTCAGGGTGAAGCCAAAGGAGCCGCCCAGCCTGCTGAATTGGACCACGTGATCAGACGTGTGGATGTGCAGACTAAGCTGCCACCCCTCCTGTTCCCGGCTGCTCCCACCCACCCTGGCTGGGATGCCAGAGAGGACACACCTCTGCCTCCAAGACCCAGATGGGCCCGGGGGGCCACGCAGAGCAGCTGGGACCCTCCGCCTCTCACTGAGTCTTTTCTCTTAGAATACGGTGGGGCTGCCCCGGAGAAAGGGGACTTCGAAGCTGGTAGGACTCTTCCTACCACACACTGGGTCCCCTCACCCAAACGCTGGGCTGGGCTGGAGAAAGACACCGTCCTGCTTCCTTCAGACGCGTCTGAGTTTCACGGTTCCTCCTCCAGTGAACCGGCTTCATTGGCTCCTCATTCAGGGAATGCAGGAAATGAGAGGAGGACACAGGTTGAACCAGGAAGAGTTCTTGTTGTGACAGAGGAAACCAGAATCTTGTATGACCTCCTAGGGAGCACTCACTCCCCGCTCCCACCACCAGGGGGCGCGCACCCAGCGTCTGGCGCTGACAAGGGTCAAGTGTAAAAGGTGCCCATGTCTCCCTTGCTCCAGCCATCCCTTACTTTGCTCCTGTGCCCTCTCCCCAACATGCTGTGGCGCCCTCTCCCCACTCCAGAAACCACCAAATACTTGGCTTCTCCTCCATGGGGTCAGGCCAGAGATATGCCATGGAAACCCTAGATCCCCTTGGTTCACTCACTGGGCCTTGGTAAGAGTAAAACAGATTCCCATAGACTCTGAGCTCCTGAGATTCCAACCCATACTTTTGTAAAGATGCTTTTGTACAAAAAAAAAAAAAAAGTGTGCTGCCCAGCATAATAAAGGTGGCAGAGTTTTTGGAGCTGGTGACTGCATGTATCAGTTTGGCCCTGGGGTGCTCCAGGACTGGTCTGTGCTCTAGGACTGGTCCCTGCCGACCAGGCCATTCGGAGGGGCCAGCAGGGACACCCAAGGCTGGGGGGGGGCAGCAGAGCCTGAGGAGTGGGCCAGGCCCAGGTTCTCTGTGACCTGGGCTGGTGTGGGAGGCAGGGAAAGAGCTCAGCTCTAGGGCGGCCAGGCTCACCAGGAGGGAAAATAGGGCGGGAAGAGGAGTGTGAGCAGAGTAAGCTTGTGGCTGAACTGACAACGGAAAGGGAGTGAAATGGAAGACCAGGGAGTCCACTTAGGGCTCTGAGTTCTCCTGGGCCGGACCCCAGAGCCGCGGGGGTGGGGCAGCTCCCTTCCCCAGACGCCCCAGGAGCATGTCTGAGCTGTAGGGCAGAGACGAAAGCCAGGACTCTTTCTTGTGGTTTCAGAGTATTACCCGTTCTATCCTTCATCCCCACTTTCTGCCTTATCTCCGCAGCCCCAAGGCAGGAAAAAGCAGAGCTGGCCCTCCCACCCTCCAGTAAATGCCACCACATTGCTCGGAGCTCAGCGCCCTGCGCCCCACCACCCGGCCTCCTCTTCCAGGTGCACGCAGAGCCCAGCCCGCTCCCTCCCGGCACAGCCAGCAGTGCTGGGCTTATTCCCCAAAGGGAGCTGTCCCCTATCAGATGGCTCTTCCTGCCAAGACTGTCCCTGGGACTAGGAAACCAGTGCCCTCCTTCTCCGCCCTTCCCTTCCCTTCCCTCCCGGCTTGGCTTCTGGTGATTTCTCTCCTCTCAGGGGAACCTGGCTCTGAGCTCCAGGTGAGCCCTTGTCCGGCAGGAAGGGTGGGTCTGAGTGCAAGGGAGAGGCACCCAGCCACCTCCACGGGCTGGTCAGTGATGGCCTGGGGCACAAACCCACATTTCTAAGTGCAGGGCTAAGGCCACTGTGCCACAAGTTTCTTCTCACAAGGAGAGGCCAGCAAACTCTGGACTTTCTGTCCCACCAAGTCAGAGATGCATAGAGAGTAGTTTGTTCTACAGATGAGGATTGAGTGCCTACTCTGTGCCAGGCATTGCGCTGGGTGCCAGAGAAAGAGCAATGGTCAAGCACAACTTAGAAAAAGATGGATAGGGGAGAGGCGAGGATCTGGGGAAGCGAAGGGAGCAGAAGTGGGAACGGACAGGCAGGAGAAGAAAGTAAAGCTGAGCCTGAGCTCACTGCCCGGAGTGGGAGGCGGGCAGAGGCCGGGAGGGGCCCGCGGGGGAGGGCACAGAGAGGCCGGAGACCAGCCACTGGCTCCCATCCAGGGGCATCTGCCCACAGCTCATATTTTTCTGTCCAGTGACAGCTAAATGAAGGGAAAGCTAACTTTACAACCGCCCGCTTCACACATAATGAATATGAATGGGCATCCCAGAGCCTGTTCCCTGGGATTATCTGTGCTGACGGGTCTCCCACTGACGGGCCATCCCCACCGGCCTGTCCCTTGGCTGGGACACAGGCACCCTTCCACCTGCTTCCCATTAGCCATCCTCCCCTCCCCCCTCCCCCACACTCTAGGCCTCTCACACTAAGGCACAGCCCCCAGGTCTCCAGATGCCCCGGCCCAGCCTCCCTCTGGAGATGAACTCAACCCTCGGCCTAGGCCCCATGCTTCTCCAAGGCCAGGCCGAGACTCTGGTCGCCTCTTCTGGAAAAGGAAAGGGATGTGGCCCCTCCTGGAACCCTAACTCCGAGACAGCGGCTAGCCTTTGCTAAGGCTCCTCTCTGCCCCGTGGGGCCCACCTGGAGAAGTCCCAAGTCTTGGTCCCGGCAGGGGCACTAGGCCCAGAGTGCAGGGCCCTAGCCAGCAGGCCCTCAGGCCGGCTTCTAGTTTCAGTCCAGCACCAAATGCTTCTCACGAGAGGTATTCGATCTTCCTTCCCACCCTCCTGTCATTCACACATGGACCTGAGTCACAACCCTGAAGTGCAGGCTCATCCCGGCCGGTGCACCACGGGGACAAGGAGCCAAAGCATCTACACTCGGGCCCTTGTTCCTGAGGCTGGGGCCCCTCCCTTCCCACTCTCCAACTGCAGGCTCCCCTGCCCAGCCTCTTCTCCAGCAGGACCTGTGCCGCCCTGCAGATGTCTCTCTACATTACTGCTCTCACTGGTGTTCATGGCCATCTATCAGCCGTGAGCTGGTCAAGGCAAGGAGTGTTGGGTTCTATTCTCCTGGACACCCAGGGCACCTGAAACTGGCTGGCCCAGGACAGGCCTTTAAGGCACGATAGCAGGCTTGCTAGATCAGTGGCTGACTCTTTTTGGGTCTTCTGAATTCAGAGCAGTGAGCTAAGGATCGGGGCTATAAGAGGTCCCTTGAAGGGACACAGGAAATGAATGCAAATTCATAGAAGGTTAGAGTTGGAAGGGCCATTAGCAATACTAAGAATAGCTGCCATTTGTTTATTATCTGTGTTGTTTCTTGCCAGCCAGGTAGGTCTGTTATCCATTACCTGCTCAGGCCTCACCACCACCTTGCTGTTTCTAAGCCAACTTTTACAGAGGAGTCAGCTGAAGCTGAGCTTGAGTTCAAGGTCCCGCAGTGATGAAACATCAGAGCCTGGACTGAACGTCAAGGCCATTCAACTCCCAAAGGTGCTTGTTTCATAGCTAGCAGCCTGAGGCTAACTGTGCCAAGTGCCAAGTGACTGGCACAGCTACTGCTTCTCTGAGAAGTCAGGTCATCAGATAGATAGAAAGCCAGCATCCCAGGAGACAAACCTAACAGGCATGACAGAGGCAGCCACGTACAAGTCCTCTGGGACCTGGGAGAGAAAGACATTTAGGCTCAGACAGTAAAGGAAGAAAAATAGCAGTGATAGCCCCCCAAGTTAGCTTGAGGGGGCTACATTTGGGTCACACTAGGGGCCAGGCTAAGGCCAAGTTTGGGTGGCCAGTTAGGGCCTAAATCAACTGACATTTGCCAAGAATCTTTCCAGGGCCCACGCTTGAGCAAACACTAAGTACTGACTAAGGCGAATCAATAAGCAAATGAAGACTCTGCTAGGGAGTAACACTCAGGAACAGGGGAAGGGTGTGTGGAGTGGAACACACACACATTGCAGACCTGCGTTTGCGTCCATTATTCTGTGACCTCGGGCAAGTTCTCTACCCCTTTCTGTGCCAGTTTCTCCTCCGCAGAACAGGCACGGCAATAACGCTGTCTCGGGGCCACCATGAACACCACGACTGCACAGGAGTGCTTCGAGCGGTGGCTGGCACAGTGAGCGCTCAGCAACTGCGGACGGCTGGCTGCCGCGTGCAAAGTGGGCTTTCAGAAGGCGTCAACAGCCGCCCTGGTGGTAACTCCTGATTGACAAGTCAAGTTCCCGTCCTGAGGATATGGCCACGGGGCGATCCGGTCCTCAGTGCACTGAAGGAGCACTGGGCCCGGAGCTGGTTAGCAACGATCAACCTTTCATGTACCTCAGCCATTTACAAAGCACCTTCACATCCCCACCCATCTCACGACCCAGGCGAGATATAAAGCCACAGAAAGTGAGTGGCCACTGGTTCCAAAAGCCACTTCTGTACAAAGACCGGAGTCAAACGGCCAATCTGCCATGAGCACACTCTGGCTGAGGCTGGATTCCCGCCCAGGCTCTGTGGCCCTCAAGCTTTGCAGTCTGTGTTCTGTTAGCCCACATTTAGAGAGAGATTTACAGACCTCTGCAAACCAAGAGGGAAAACGGCCCCTCCAGCTCAGGGCAGCTTCGGAGGAGGGACTGGGAAAATCAGAAGAGAACACAACCTCAGGCAGGCAGGTTGAGTGGCTAGGCTGCCTGTACGAACGGGCAAATCCGTCTTCCCCAAACCAACCTCACAGTACATACTTCCTCTAGGTCCTGGCAAGAAACAGCAGAAAATCCATCACGCACACACGAGTTGTGTCAAATTCCCTTGTTCTGTGCAAGTTACTTTGGGGCAAAACGCCAACCAGTCCCCCCATCTCAGAGGCGTGTGACTCACGTAAGCAGCACACCGCTGGCTGCCACCCCTGCTCCTCGCCACGCTGCCACTTCGAGGCCTGTCCCGGAAGCCCCGCTCGGGGCCTGGACCGGGGCTCAGCACAACACTGACCAGAAGAACCAGCACAGAGGAGGTTCCCCTAGAACACATGTCCTTCAGAAGTCAAGACCCCCTGGAGACTGAGACTTGGACGCGTGCCTACAGGTAAGATAAGGGAACTTGAAGAGTTCTGAAAAGAGGATGCTCCTCTCACCAGCCATCAGAATGGGAAGATTCCCAGAAATAGACTTAAGACTGAGTGTGGAGGAGGCAGACACGACCAGGGCTCTGAAGGCCAGGTGCAGGCTCCAGGCCTCAAACCCACAGAAGGTTTTCCTTGCTTCCCCCTCAGCCCCGGGCTCCGGGGCCCTCCGACACTCTCCTTTGCACTGTGAGGCTGAGGCCGACTCCTGATGATCTACTTTCCCAGGCTCAGGGCACATACGTTTCCTCTCAGTCCCAACCATCTGCCCCAGTGAGGGCCCAGAGCACTGCCCCCTCTCTGACCAGCCCCTCCCTCCCTGGGACTGGCAATGGTTTGCCTGAGGTCAGCTTAGGAGTATGATCCAGAGAAACATGGGGCTCCTGACCGAATGACATCAAACTCGGGGGTGCAGAACAACATGTCACTCAGCAACCCAGCGCCCTGGAGCTCAGCGGCAGCCACTCCAGATTGATGTGGGGAGAGAGAAAAGTTTGGAGAAGTGTCTACTCCCCCCGCCCCCAGATGGGAAAGGCAGGCAGCTCGGCAGAGGACAAGTGGGACCTATGAATACTAGCAAGAAAACCCACTTTCCAGACCTGGAAGAGATATTCAGGGGCCATATTTTCTGCAGACAAAGCCACTGGGATTATTTTTGCTTCCTTTTAATGTAAACAGAATACACAAACACAGTAAAAACCCCACATGACACAAGAGAATACACACAGATTTATATATAGATATTTACAGACCCTTGCAAACCATGAGGAAAAATGGCGCCTCTGACGAAGGCAAGCTTCTCTTCCCACCCAACCCTGTCCAGAACCCAAGTGCTGAGGGAGCTGCAGGAGCCTCTGCAACTGCTTCTGGAGGAAACAGCAGGAGGCTGGAATGACATCAGAAACCCCCAAAGCAAAACCAGGATTCTGGCTTTCTGGCCCTGGCCTTAATCCTAAACCCTCCTCCTTGGCAATTGGGCCTGCCAAGGATTTGCATGTCTCAAGGAAAGTCAGCGTGAGCCCCGAAATTCAGATGTGATGGGTTCCCACCCCATCCCAGCTTTTCCCAGCCTTGGGCTGAATGAGAAATGAGCTGCAACCAACCATGTCCAAGAGAGGAAGGTGGGAGGAGTGAAGAGAGAGGATGGGAAGCAGAGATGACTGCTCCCATGCAGGATGCTGGGATCAACCAGAGGCCAAGTCCAGGGCTGTCTGGGGAGGGCACAGAGGGGCTGTGCTGCCACCTGGAGGGGGACGTGCACACTGCAGTGATCCAGGACAGGCCGGGGCAGCTGGACATCACCTTCTTCCCTCGTTAGTCCCCTACCCAGGAGCCTCACTGAAGCAGCTCTTCCCAGGAAATGGGCTTGGAGAAGACCTCCCTTTCTAACCAGAGGTCATAGTTCATCTGGAAGTCTTCAGGGAGGTCCACCCGCTGGCCCAGGACGCTCTGCAGGCAGTTGTCCACAGGAAGGAAGTCGGGGTTGCTGTGGGCCCGGTCGTAGCGCCGGGCGTTGAAGCGTTCAATGTTGGCACGGAGGGCACACTCCTCTGCCTGGAAATCCCAAGGCCGGGCATCCAGATCTGGGACAAGGCAGGAAGATACAGTCAGGAGCCAGGCCCTCATGGCAGCTCCCCCTGCGTTCATAAGTTAACGGCCTGACAACCCCCGCTTGACACATTATGTCCACCTCCAAGCCCCCTCCTCAGGAACACTGCCAGGATTCCTTTCCAGACACGAAGGAACGTCAGGTGAAAGGAGAAAAGCCACATCTATGGAGGAGGCCACACTGCAGTCTGTGTGGACCAGCGAGGGAGAGTCGCAGGTACCACACGCTTCTCCGAAAGCTGTCCTTCCTGGCTCTGGGGTCAGAGAAGTGTGCGGATTCCCTCAGCAGCACTCTCAACTCCCTGCCCAGGTACAAATTTAAAGGGCGATGGGAACGCAGGCACTTGGCCATGGTGCGCTGACTCAGGAACTATGAGGGTGCAGCAGTGTGGCCAGGGGACACGGCGAAGAACCCACTCTGTCCAGGAGGCTGAGGGCGGCTGCCCAGACTGAAGAAAACCCACAAAGACACAGGACGGTTGCAGGGTGTGTGCGTGCAGGGGAAGCACCATGCTGGGAGAAAGGAAAGAAGTGGGGACCACAGGCCTCCACACACAGACTGAGTGCCTGTGCCGAGAGCCCGGGTGTGACAGGCTGAAGAGAAGCTGGGTCAGATCACAGCAGCAGAGGGAGGCGACGCGGCCTCATGTGCCTTGCTTAAGTTTGGCTGTAATTCTAAGGGCAATTGGAGGCTGTGAAGCGCCTGACTCGGGTGCTAGCGGACCCGCACTTTGGAAAGATCACTGCAGCAGAGTTTGAAGCACTGATAGAGGAGAAACCATTAGGAACTGAAAGAATTTGTGGCCAAAACCAAAGAAGTTTGGGGGGGAGGGGCTCTTGTGACAATTTCTGGAAAAGAAAGGACTTCTAGGGAGGGACAGAGGAATGGGGGATGCTCAAACACCAAGTCTGGGCAACTTCTCAAGGTCCTTCCTAGTGCTCCCATCCTGACTTCTCAGAGGGAGCCTAGAGCAGAGAGGGCAAGATGTTACCTCCCGACACCCCCCGCGCCCAGGGTGCAGAGCCTCACCGTTGCCGTAGGCCCAGTCGTCATTCAGCCGATGCCGCACCTTCTGGTAGATGGCAGACATGGTCTTCATGTTGCTCTTGCGCCACTGCCGCCCCAGGTACTTGGTCTGCACCTTGAGCAGCTTCAGCACATAGAGCTGCATCATGGCCTGCTTCACTTTCAGCGCCCGCTTCAGGATAGGGGCGGACTTGAACACCACTAGCATCTGGAAGGGCACCAGGCAGGCTCAACTGGAGGGCACAACTAACACCTACACCCACCCCTTTTGGAGTCATGGGCAGGGTGACCAACCATCCCAGTTTTCCCCAGACTGAGGAGTGTGCTGGGACATGGGACTTCCACTTCTAAAACCACCCAAGTCCCAGGCAAACCAGGATGGCTGGCCACCCTAATTATGAGTCATTCTGGAACACGAAGAAAGCTATGACTTCCTTCAGAAATACTGCTATGTGCACACACCTACAATTTCGGAGGATCCGCAGCCCTCCCCACCCCAAAGGCACCCACAGACTCAGGGTTAAAGGAGACTCCCAGACCCTGGTCAGAGGGAAACCCCTTCTGTGAGTGTGATTTGTTTCAGTGCACAGCCAAGTTCTCCAGCCTCCAGTTCAACTAGCTCATCAAGGAACCAGGAGTCAGCCCTTACGATCAAGGGTGTGGCTGCAGGGAAGTTAGGAGGGAAGGATGGAGCCACTCCTGTGCAGAGCAGGGGATGGGACGGGCGTGGCACTCTGCTTGGAGCTCCGGGTCCCAGTCCTGCCGACTGCGCTCACTCACCATTGTCCTCGAATGCTTCCATTTGGTCAGCTTGTTCAAGATCCGAAGGAGGTTGATACAAGAAAAGAGGTTTCTCCAGCAAAACTGGTTATTGTCACCTGCTTCCTGCAGGAAAAGCCCAGGAACAACCATGACCCTCAGCAGCAGCTTGCAGGCCCTCACACGTATGACCTCAGAACTACGGGCCTCTCCATGCCCGTACCAGGCACCCCCTCCTTTCCTCAGCCCACGGGAAACTCCATCCCAGAAGTTGGCAGGGGGCAGTGAGGGGGGGCTCCCTAGAATTTTCCTGCAGGAAACAGAGCATGATATTAGGGGCTGTGGCCTCAGCCCCACGACCTGGGGTTCCACAGAGCTGTGGCCCCGCAGAGTTCCAGTGTGGGGGAGAAGCAACTCACCCCGATGAGCTCTCAGTCATCAGTCCCTGAAGTCCATGCTCTCAACAAACTAATCCCTATAACCAAACCTTTCTGCCTTGTAAGCGCCCTCCCCGGCCCTTGCATGCAATTACAGTGCTTTAAAAGCCAGGTACTCAACAAGGATCTCATCTGTGAAGACCCTTCTACCGCAGTGTGGAGGGGCCAGGCTCCGCGCTACAGACCCTCACCCGAAGGGGACAGCCGAGGAAGGGCCTCGGCACTCACCAGGCTCTCGGCAGTCAGCTCCGGCAGCTCGTGCACCACGCAGTGAGGGTAATCCAGGACGGAAATACTACAGAGGGCAGAAGGCAGGCGCCCACCATGAGCACAGGTGGCGGCTGGCTCCTGGCTTTCCTCTCTCACTTGTTGGAACAGAAGCAGGAAACTACCTTGTATGTACCACTCTGGTTTCCCAGCTCTAAAATGAGCAATACCTTCCAAGAGAAGTTGTGGGTCCCTCTGGCCAGAGGCCAGCTTGTAACCTTATAAGGGGTGGAGACCCTGCTTTCCCCACAGCAATGAATCTGGGACTGGGGAGGGACTTCTGAAGGAAATGAATTTATCCCAAGCCCTTTCGGGAGACAGAGCCTGGCTGAGGGCTCACCCTGTGATGTACACACTGATGAGCTGGCACAGTCAAGTACAGCTGAAACCAGGCGAGAGGGGTGGGGGCTGAGTCAGCAGACAGGGCATGACAATGCACATGGCCGAGATCCTTAGAGAGAGCAGGCAGCCTGGCTGGTCTCCTCAAAAAAAAAAAAAAAGGCACTGGAGCCCAGGATGAGACCCCTTCCAGCCAGGCACAGCCTGAATCACCTGTCACTAGACTAGCGAGACTCAAATCTGACACACTGGCATTTTCCACAGGCAGGGACCATGTCTCATTCATCTCAGAAGCCTGGCAGAGTACTGGCTTGTAGGTGCTGAGTGGACTTAGGGAGCAGCCAGCTGGGAGCCCTGCCACCTGGCCCTGTACCCACCCCTCCTGATCCCTGGTCCTTATCACCTGTTCTTGGCAGTGATGTAGGACATGATGTTTTGATTGAAGAACTTTAGAATCAAAGGGATGCAGTTGGCAAACACCAGGTGCTGGGCCATGTATTCAAACTGAAACCAACAGAAAAGAAGTAATAAGCATGCCCCTTGGGACCTCGCCATCTTTCATCCCTCCAGTGATAAAAGGCCTTGGTTGGAAGACTGAGTCTTAGAACATTCAGGCAGAGCTCAAGGGTGTTTGAAGGCCAAGTCCTCCGTTCTTCAGGCTGGAGGAGCAGCACTGCCCGAGGCCCTGGCCCAGGGGACAGGAAGTAAGGAAGGCCTTACGAGTACCTGGTAGACATGGTTCAATTTAAAGTGCTTGAGCAGCAGCAGCAGGACAGCGGAAATGGCCTTAACAATGACCTCTTTGTGGCGGTTCACATCGACCCCCAGCTTCATGCTCTGCAACACCGTGGTCCTAGAAACACAAGTAGCTGGGTGAGCCAGCAGCCTGTGCAGTGCCCCTCTTAGGTGCTCACAGGAGAGGGGGTTCTTTACAACTTCCACCCATGACATCTCAGAGGCCAGGTCCAGGGTTCCTCCTCCCTCCCTCCCAAGCACAGCACAATTTTTCTTCCTTGTGATGCCCCCAACACATTCTTAGCCTATTTCCCTGCTTTCCCTCCAACAGTGAACTTCTCTTCAAGATCTCCCCTAAGCTTCTGCCGCCATGTGAGCTGTGTTCTCCAGCGTGTTCTGTGGATACCACCACATGGACATGATTCATGTGACGGGGAGAATGGGTTTAGAGTCAGATCCACTTAGGAAGCAGTGAGTTAAATCAGTTTCTTTCTTTTTTAAAATTTATTTTTCAATTGTACTTGACACACAATATTATGTTAGCTTTGGGTATACACCATAGTGATTAGACATTTAAATCAGTTTCTTAATTCAGGACTGCTCACTGTCAGTCTTTAAAAGAGGAGGTATATTTGACTCTGGAACCCCCTTTCCAAGGACCATCACAATGGCCATGTTCTGTGACACCCGCTTTGTATTAACTAAGTCTCGCCTCATCCCTCACCTGGCTGCCACACCAGACTCCAGGAGCCCAGCCCCAGGGAACTGGACAGTACTGGCAGGCAGGCAGGAGCCCAGGTCAAGGCCAGGTCCCTCTCAAAGAACACAATCTCTGTTTGTACTCTCACATCAAAGAGACGCGATCAGTGCTCCAGGGAGGAAGAACCTCTAGGGTTTCACTGTCACCAAGATGTTCATAAATATCCTGCGGGCCAGTTCACTGGTGAACGGGAGAAAACCACACCCCGATGAGGCTCAGCTATTGGCTGGCAAACTGTTCCGCAGCTGAATCTCCACATCCTGGATGTCCCAGCCATAAAAGCTGTGGCATGAGGGTTTTGGGAAATGCTGAACCCAACCTGACTCACTTTGTAGAGGGGAGATGACCCTCCCAATTCACTCAGGCAGAGTCGACACTAGAACCCAGGCCAGCTGGACTAAGCCTTTTCCCCAACCAGTAAAACGAAATATTTCATCCAGTACTTTTGTTTTCTTCTAAGCCTGGAATACCCTCAACTTAACCGGCAGAGTTGAGTCAAAAAAAGAAAGCAACCTAGCAAACAGTGGGACGGAAAGAAAAACACTTCCTATTCTGCGGCCTGGTCCTGCTCCATTCACAGGCTCAATGATACTCAATTCACAGGCACAATGATACGCACGGCATCTCCTCAGGCAAGACGTCTGCTAGGATGTTGATGGAGTCTGTTTTGGCTTTTGATGTGGGAGCTGCAGCCAGCAGGATCTTCAGCAGCGCGATCTGGGGAGGATGAGAGTGCCCAGGTGCAGGACTAAGCCCTGAGCAATGGTCCTTCTGGAGGGGCTCAGTGGCAGGAGGAGGGACTGAAGGACACTGGCAGGGCATGCTCCCAAGGCCAGTGTAGTGGGGAGGGTCATCTCATGGCAAGTACCTACTGATGGCCACCAAAAGGGTCCCAGGGCTGGAGCCCTGAGGAGGGGGCACTTACCATGTACTGAGGCAGGCTGGGGAGCAGGCCTTGGTAGAGGGTTTCTGCGGGGACTTGCTCAACTTCCTCTTCTCCCTTTTAACACAATGGTACAAATATGAACCTCAATTCCAACCAGTCTCCTGAGCCAGCTGACTTACTGGCTGGAAGAGAATCTGTAAGTATCAATGTAAATAATGATGTCAATAATGATAGCAGACCTTGAACGATACAATGTACCAGGCATTTTACTTGTAATAGCTCAGTTAATCCTCACTACAACTCTGCGAAGAAGGTGCGATTATTATTCCCATTTTGCAGGTGAGGAAACTACAGCACAAAGAGATCCAGTCTCCTGCTAGGTCACCACGCACTAAGTGGTGGAGCCAGATTCAGAGGCAGGTGACTGGCTGAGTCTGTGCTCTTAACCTCTGCACTACACACAGGCCATCCCCGCCGTGGAGTGAGACTGGAGGCTTTGAGGGCAGGGACGGGGGCTGCTTCATGGTCTAGGCCCAGCACTGGGCCTAGGAAGGGCTAGGGATCGTGTTGGCTGAAGAAGGCCCCAACTCACCCCTGAGAGAGGAGAGCGAAGGTACTCCTCCTCCATCTGTGCCTGGACCTCTGCAATCGACGTGTACTTGTGCTGGAGAAAAGACAAGGAGGAGCTGGGAACATCTCCCATTTTCTCACTAAATACCCCACACCCTGGGCAAGACTCCACACAAGTTTCTTCAAGCACAATCTCCACAAAGATTGCTAACATCCTGAACCCAAACTATTTTTCTTTTTTAAATTTTTTTTTCTTTATTGATTTTAGAGAGAGAGTAAGGGAGAGGGAAATAGAAACACTGATGAGAGGGCACAGTGATTGGCCGCCACCTGCATGGCCCCCACTGGGGATCGGGCCCACAACCTGGGCATGTGCCCTGACCAGGAATCAAACTGGCGACCTCTTGGTGTATGGGTCAATGCTCAACCACTGAGCCATACCTGCTGGGCCCAAACTCTTTTTCTAAGTGAGTACCTGCCTCTTAAAACCAGTGTAAAAAGCATTCAAAAGATTAGAAAAAAGCAAATTAAGGGAGAGCAAGGGGCTTTTAGATAGTTATAGTGACAGAAAAACTAGTACAAGCATAATCAAGTACTCAAAAAGTCTAGCTGCAACACATTTCAGAAATACATTTTAAAAACAAACATTTACACTTGAGGTATATTGTTAGGGGAGACAACTCTTTCCCACTATTTTTTTTATCCTCCCCCGAGGACATTTTTCCACTTTTTATTCAGATAGAGCAGGAGGGCGAGAGAGGAAGAGAGAGAGAGAGAAACCTCAACGTGAAAGGGACACATCGAGTGGCTGCCACCCACACTACCAAATCAGGGCCGGGGACAAACTGCAGCCAAGGTACATGCCCTTAGTGAGAACCGAACCCAGGTCTCTCCAGACCGCAGGCCGACGCTCTAACCGCTGAGCCAAACCGGCCAGGGCGCCCCACTATTTTTTTAAAAATATTTTTTATTGATTTTTTTTTTTTTAGAGAGAGAGAAACAAACATCAATCAGCTGCCTCCTGCACACCCCCTACTGCAGATCGAGCCTTCAACCAGGCATGTGCCCTGACTGGGAATTCAACTGGGACCTCTCAGTCCATGGGACGATGCTCAGTCCACTGTGCCACACCAGCTGGGCTCTTTCCCACACTTGATGTTCTCTGCCATGTGGAGGCACATGCATGTGCAAAATACCCCAGTCTCTCCCAGCCCCTCCCACACACCCCTGCCTTGCTGACTGGTGAGTATAGGAAAAATAGGACATTCTTAGTCCACCCCTTTCTCTTTTCTCTTTAACAAAAAGAAAAGCCTGTGCTCTCTTCTGCTGCTGTCGCAGGCTTTGCAAGGTTCCAGCACTGCCTGGGGCTGGGTGGAAGGTGGGATTAGGACACCTATCGCTGCTGTGTCCTTCGCCTCCTTCTCCAATTGCGCTGTCAGCCACAAAGCTGGAGTTTTAGTTATTTATTTTTTTTATCCTCACCCGAGGACATTTTTCCATTTTTTTTTTTGGTTCAGATAGAGCGGGAGGGAGAGAGAGAGGAAGAGAGAGAGAAACATTGATGTGAAAGGGACACATCAAGTGGCTGCCACCCGCACAGGGCCAGGGACAAACTGCAACCGAGGTATGCACCCTTAGCGGGAACCGAACCCGGGTCTCTCTGGACCGCAGACCGACGCTCCAACTGCTGAGCCAAACCGGCCAGGGCAAAGCTGGAGTTTTAATCTCCATTTGCCTACTCCTCTATCTCAATTGCCTTAGAAATTCAGCAAGGAAAGGAGGTAGGCTATTTAATGGGCCCCTTAAAATTCCAACAATTGTCAGGTAATATAATCTTTAATAAGCCACCAGTAAGTCCCCAATAAAAGCTCAGCTAGAGTAAGTAAAACTTAGGAAAAACTGTTGAAAGGTAACGCCACAGTCTACCCATCCCACCAGCCCAGGTTTCTTCAGGCAGACAATAGTCCAAATGGCTTCTCCCAGTGGGCTAGTCTCACTTTACTCACTTGGGACCAAACTAGGCCAAAAGCTTACCTGTTTCAGAGTCTTGATGCTTTCGTGGATTGGCCTGGGCAGCCCCACCACTGTGTTTGTATCACTGGAGAAGAAAGAAGGCCCTGTGTTAATCCCAGACATCAATCCACCTGGGTCCCCAAACACCAAAGGCCAAGAGAGTGAATTTCTCAATACCTTTCTTCAAAGGGAACTCAGATCACACTCACCTGCCCAGAGTGTAACCTATGAACTTGCTACGGCTGGACTCGAGGAACATCTCAATGTCTTTCTCTCTGCCAAAGCAAGAGAGCAAGCTTTTTATTAAACATTATTTCAGTGTGTCATGGTTAATAAAGTACAGAACAGCCAGAAATCAGGAAGCCAGAAGAAAAAGTCTCCCACAATTGTTTTTCTTTATGGAAAAAAGAAAAACACAACTAAAACCTTCAGACTATTTAATGTCCTTCACAATGTTGTTGAATCAATAACCTGAAATTATATTACATGTAACTAGTTTACTTGTAAAATTAAAGTGATACATCAAATTAAAAGTATACTTTATTTGGATATTAATAACTTTGTCAATAGAACCCCTCAAATATTTAAAGTTTTTACAACGAGAGCTGTAAGTGTCTGATTTTTTTCATGAGTCACATTTTCCTATCTCAGTCAGCCAGCATATCTTGCATTTTCTGATGACCTGTGTGTATTCCTATGGTGGATCACTGAAAACTGAGGCTTTACCTGGATCAAGGAAGTGACTTCTGTATCCTCTCACATGGTCACCTAGTTCTTACTTAAGTTGGTGCCTTTTCAAACAGATACCATTTCTATATATCCAGGTACCTTTCCATCCATTGATTCATGCACATATATCTCAAATATCTTAATTATGGTTCTAAAGAAGCTCTTCCTTAATCTATAATTTTTCTGTTAACCATAAAGAACCCCAGGGTGCATGGAGCTGGGTTCATTTAAATGTCCTTGTTTTCATTTTACTCATCCCCCTTCATGGTTATCATGTCTAACCAAGAGCCAGCTCCCATTACCCACTCAAGAGCCATAAAAGGGCCTTTTTGTGTAAGGCCAGCAAGGTCAGCCCCCAAGACCCGCAGGCCAGCACAGAGTACTTTCAGAGAGGCTCATCCCAGAGCCAAGTCAGCCTGTCCCAGCAGAGCACCTCTTGTGACTCAGGCCAGTGCTAGGCCTGCAGGTATGAGGGCTCTGGTTTCAGAATTAAGAGTGTTCCAAAAGTCTGAGACTCACCTGACCTTGGGTGCCCATGGGAGCCCCTTTGGACAGGTAAGCCTGTCAGTCTGGGGGTGCTGTAATGGGGGAGGCATCACTTCGTCCCGCTCAAGGGGGAACGTCTCCCCCTCCAGACTGTTGTCATCATCATTCTCCTCTTCCTCTTCTCGAGAATCGTCAGTCTTGTAGGGATCCCGCTCATTGAAGGCATCCAGGTTGTCCTGCTTTATCAGAGCCTTAAGATGGAGGGAGGGGAGAGCAGGCAATGAAGCCAATGGAGGAGCAAGAAAAGGACAAGGAAGCTATAGAGGCTGCAACACACAAAGGTGGTAGGTGGGGTGCCAAGGGCAGTGGAAAACCAGACAGGAAGTCAAGGTTGGGGCCAAAATGACAAATCATTTCTTGCCCTCGTCCCTCAAAGCGCCATGTCCTGAGTACATACTGTGAACTGGGACCCTGGACTGGGGATGCAGTATCCCTGCCAGGAGGTCTTCATTTTGACTAGCCGCTCAGAGATAATTCCCAACCACGCTCATCCAGGGACCATGCGCTGTGTGTGTGCACCTTGAAAGCCCTTGGGAGTCAAAGGGACCTCTGTCACCCTCACCTTGTGCTCCCGGCGGCCCCGTTTCTGCTGCTGCTCGATCAGGTCGGAGGCAGATGCTGGTGGAGAGGCGGCCCTCATGTTGCGGATCACTTTGATGCTGTCCTCAGGCAGCGGGGGGAGGCCCAGCATGGTGCGCTTCTCGGCCTTCATGCTCTGCAGTTCCTCAAAGCCGCCCAGCGTGCACTGCATCAGACGGGGAGCAGAGCTGGGGTCAACATGCCCACAGGCTGTGTCAGTCTCGGGAGCACCCATGACTCACATCTTTACAAAGACCCTCATGCCCTCTGAACAAGGGACTAGATCCACTCACAGGAGAGTTCAGGAACATGGGAAGAGAAGGAGAAATAGGGGCTGACTGAGCCTAGTGCACAGACACATTCAGCTCTACATGTACAACATGCTCTTCAAGTGAAAAAAAAGGCAGACTGAAGAGCCTAACCCATCAAGCTCCTAAAAAGCCTGTGAGACTCATGCTTCAAAAGCTGTACATGTCAGACTTTCATTTATTTATTTATTTATTTTTGTTCAGGTAGAGTGGGAGGGAGAGAGAGGAACAGATAGAGAGAGAGAAACATCGACGTGAAAGGAACACACTGAGTGGCTGCCACCCGCACGACCTACCAGGGCCGGGGACAAATTGCAACCAAGGTACCTGCCCTTAGCGGGAACCGAACCCAGGTCTCTCAGGGCCGCAGGCCGATGCTCTAACCGCTGAGCCAAACCGGCCAGGGCACATGTCAGACTTTCAAAGTCAAATTGGAAACACAGTTGACCCTTACGCAGGCGTCAGGGTGCCGATACCCCACGCAGTTCAGAACCCATGTGTAACTTAAGTTGGTCTTCCACCTATGGGGATTTGAAACTGCAAATGAAAAATACAGTTGACTCTTGAACAACATGGGTTACAACTGCAGGGGTTCACTTATAGTTTAAAAACCCACATATAAGTGGACCTGCACAGTTTAAACCCGTGTTGTTCTATGTTTAACTGTGTATCGTAGGATGTTCAAATAAAAAAATTTTAAAAAGCATCCCTGGCTGGGGAGCTCAGTTGGTTAGAGCGCTGTCCAGACACACCAAGGTTCCAGGTTTGATCCCTGATCAAGGCACATACCAAGAATCAACCAATGAATGCTTAAATAAGTGGAACAATAAATTGATGTTTCTCTCTCTCTCAAAATCTATCAATAACATTTTTTTTTTAAAAAGCTTCATCTAAACATCCCCCTGGAAGCCAGTAGTATCCAGCAATTTCAGGCCACTCAGTTTCACTGTTTCTGAGCAATTCAGCTTTCCTCTCTGGCTTCGGTGAGGCTTTGGGAGGAACTGACGAAATGTGTGGCCAAGATCAAACGTGTAGACCACTCTAAGAGGCCGTAGCCTCCCTGAGCCCTGGCTCCACAGGGTTGGCCCATTCTGAAAAAAGGAAGGGTGAGCCCCAAGGGAAACAGTAGTTCAAGCCCCTCTTCTACCCTGTCCCCAGCACCTGGTTCCCCTTCAAGGAGGTGCTCACCAGTACTGTCTTCCAAAGCAGCAAGAGAACCTTCTTCATCGGGAAGTGAGGCGCATGGCCACTGCAAAATTTGGTCACCATCCCAAACAGCATGATGGCAAATGGCTCATTGTTGTATAGCGGGGAACCTGGAGACGACACAAAGGCCTCAGGAGCACAGGCAGAAACAGAACCTTCCTAAAGCCCACCAGCCTTGGCAACCACAAAGGGACTCAAGACAGGATCCCCAAGGTCCTACCCAGCTCAGCCCTGAAGGTCTGTCGCATTGCCCTCCACTCAGCTTTATCGCTCTCACACTCTTGGTGAACGGTCTCCACAATCAGATACATGATGTTGAGCAGGACCCTGGGAATGAGATAACAGGGCAGAATGGGGGATCAAGGGAGCACCCTGGCTTCCTTAACACTCCACTGACATGAGAAAAGCCTGGTCACAAAGGCTAGCAGATGGGGAGAACTATAACCTTCAGGAAACCTAAGTCCCACAGAGCACTTAGTGCTTCCTTCTCTGTTCCGTGTTGCTCAGGTTGTGACCAGATCTGCTCTGTATCTCTGGTGTCTAGCAAAGTGCTTACTCAAAGCAGGTGCTTGGCAAATGGTTGCCGAATGGATTAACATGAACAAGAATGACAAATGCATTTACTGCCCTGAGTTTCCTGGAATGAAAATGACAGAGGTGGGAGTGAGCTGTAGGAGTGGGGGTTGGATCCACGGATCAGGGTGGAAGTGAGAACAAGACGTGTTTGCCATGGTGAGTGCAATCAGGAGTGAGCAGGGTGATGCATGGGGCCCTAACTACAGCGAGGACACTAACACCCAGTTTGAAAACTTCCAAATGCTCAGACAGACTCTGATCCTCACAGATGGGCAACAGTGCTCTTGCTCTTGAGCAGTTGTGATTACTTCAAGCACAGCCATCATGAGTTGTCAGGACCAACCCTATGTAGATGGGGGTCAAGCTGTACACAACAAGGTGAGAGCCCAAGGGGTCTCATCGTGTGTTCCTTCCAATACAGAATGACATTCCGAGCTCTCAGCAGCACTGTGGTCCTGTTATAGGTGGCTTCACCCCGGATTTCTTCTGGGAAACTCAACCCAGAGCTTCCCTAGGGAGAGCCATCAGCAGGGCCGACTACTCCCACATTGAGCCCATCACACCTGCAGGTTAGTGCGTGAGAAGGAACGCGCACACATCCCACAGCAAGAAAACCCAAGGACCCTCCCCACGCCCTGCTCTGACCTCACTCTGACGAACAGGGCCTCACCTCAGGTCTGTGCTGTCCGCCAGGGAGATGGCCGGCTTCCTCACCGCACTGCTGCAGGCGGCGCTGTTGCTGCAGGGGAGACTGGAGTCAGTGCCTCCCTCCCTCACCCCCAGGAAGAGAAGGGGTTCCCCTGACCAGGTCGGCCCAATCAGGGAAATAAAACACTATGACGTGTGTTTAGATGGCACAAGACTCCACAGGACTGAGTAAGAACTCAGGCCCACGACCAGACTCTCAAGACCAGTAGTTCTGTAGCCACCCCGCAAGCCACTCAGGAAAACTCACTCTATTTCCATGTTCAGAAGCTCCACCAAAGCATGGAACGTGCCCACCTCCAGGAGCAAAAAGATGTTGTAGCGCATCCAAGTCTGCACCTCTGCCTCTGAGCTGCACTCCCCGAAGGTGCCTGCAGACCCAGGGCACAGCTCAATGAGCCCCTCCTGTATCTGACTGGCCCACATCACTGAAGAAGGTGCCCGGAGCCCTGGGTGCCCACTCAGTACCTTGGGCAACGTAGAGAATTGCCCGAGCCACCTTGAGTCTCTTCTCCCTGGCAGTGACTTCCAGGCCGTCCAGGAGCCTCATGGCATGGGTCCGGTGCTGGTTGGTGTCCAGCTCGGTCCACTTCTTGTCTGTCACTGCAGAGCAAGAGACCAGTTACACCAGAGCCCAGAAAAATCCTCATAATGGACCAGATCCCAGGTTAACCCACCAAGCGCAGGACTGCAACAGGACCAGAAAACTCAGAAAGGTCAGTTACTCTCTTCGTAAGGGCCAAGGCCCACTCCTGCTCTACGACTTTGAATTTCCAGAATGAAAAAAATGCCATTTTTGGTGCAATTTTAATCACATAAAGTTTCTTTTTTTCCTAATACACTCTGAAAAGCCACCACCAGAGTGCTTGCAAGCTCACCCTAACTGCCACATCTGGCCTGGAACATCTGTGGCTCAGCAGGCTTTGTAAGCCACTCCAGGATGACTGAAGTGATTCAGATGACTAAGAGAAACCCTGCAGCTCTCATGATACAGGGTGAAAGGAACCAAGAAGTGGAGGGAGTCATCTCACCATGGATCCGGAAGTCCTCTTCAAAGCATTTTCGATTCATCAAGAATTCTGGCCCTTCCGTGTAGCTGTAAAGCTCTGTTAAGAAAAAAGTCTCATTAGCTCTGTGCCCAGATTCCCCACCAGGCCTCACATGTAGCAGACAAGGTAAGGCGTTTGCTTCTAGGCCTAACTCTGTCCCTGAGCCACAGTCACTCCTGAACTGTTTTGTAGTTACTAAGGGGGTCTTAGTGTTCTGATGAACAAGATGGAGAGAATGCTGACTTCCCTCGCAGCTGACCACCAGCATGACAGTCCAGCACAAAAGTGGGCATTTCCCATCCGGTGCACACTGATCCCAGCATGCTGTGCTAGTGCCTGACTGCCGTCGTGAACGTGTGGCTCTCAAGTGGCTGCTACCTCCTGAAAGAGGACCTGTACTACGGAGGCTTGAGGAGCGGCTTGGGCTAATCACATATTACACATGAGCAGTAGTGGCAGTGACAGATGTGCACAGATGCAGGCACACTCTTCTGAGAAAGACCACTGTCAGAGGGACAGGGTATGGCCAAGGAGCATCTCTGTCCACACTGGGGTTGGGCCACAGCCAACTGAGCTGATCACACAGAAATGCTTCATGGAAGTAAAGGACAAGCCAAAGTTATGAGATACACAAAGCCTGAATGTAATAATTAACATGTTTTATATACATCATTACTAAGACTAACTAGGGGAAAAAATAAACTCCAAAATGACATTCACTCTTAATTTTATTAAAGACCAAACAGGAAAAAAACACCCCCAAACGACACCGAGGCCTACGCTGTACCGGAGAGCTCCGCAGCCCACTTGTCTGTGTCAGCGTACTCAAACTCCAGGTCTGGAGACTCGGAACAGCCCTGCTGGGAACAGGGGAGGGAAACAAAAGGTCGCCATGTTTTCCAAAGGAAAAAACATGCTTCCAGAGACACTGTTGTGTTAAGAACACCACTGCCTCCACTTTTCTGATATTTTATCACAACATTCTACCTCCTGGGCTAACTCAGGTCTCTGAGAGCACCTCGCACTTTTCCTTCAGAGCACTTATCATCTTATAATGATACACTGGCATGTGCATTTGGTAAGTGTCTGCCTCTCCTTGAGACTGCAAGTTCCTTGAGAGGCGGAACTCTGTACACTTTGCTCACCAATGATTTCACAATGCCCAGCACACTACTTGCCATGAATGAGTGAATGAATGAATAGTTTATACTCAAATAGATACTTTTGAGTGAATGAACATAAAGCTTCTATGTATTCTATGCAGTGAATGACCATTCATTCCATATGGTGCTAAGGTTCCAGAAGCCTCAGTTCTTCAGAGGCTAGTGGGTTCTGGACAGAATAAATACTGACACCCTTGGTCTTCCTGTCCTTTTCTCAAATTTCAGTGAGAACTGACGGACAGAGAATGCAGCAGCTGAACAGAATGGCTTCCCTCCCACACACAGGAGAGAATGTGACAAAGAGAATCATTTTATTGCTGGGGACAAGTGATCACTGAGAACACATCACCTGGGAAGCCTTATTCTGGGAAGAGAGAAGTAAAGAAACAGGTGAAGTTCTCAGGCTTAATTACAAGCTACTTGGGAAGACAGAAGACCACCCACAAAATGACCTACTATACCCACAAACAGTGAATGACATGAAGAACGCTACTTCCCATTCAGAGGCAAAAGTGTACACTTCACAAGTACTGAACTTCAGTTACTTCATTTATGGAATGGGGGTGGCAAAAATCTCCCTGGAAGGTTTTTAAGCACTACAGTCGTCCCTCGCCACTTCGCGCTTTGACTTTTGCAACTTCTCTCTATCGCAGTTTTTTCAAATGTAGCATAGTATTTGAAAAACCTATGATAGAGTAAAGCCACGAACGTCAAAGTACGAAGTGCAAGTACATAAATAAAGAATCCTACTTCGTGGAAATTCATTTATGGCGGTAGAGTCTGAAACTGATTGACCGTGACAAACGAGGGCCGACTGTAATCGGGTAGGTAGCCCACTGCGGGCTCTCTTCCAGTGTCGGCCTGTCCCCCAGCCACTGCTCAGGCTCCCAGCCTACTGATTACAGCTATGACTTAAGAATGAGCCGAGACAGCAACAGTATCTCTAAGATGAATTTTGACAGGTCTCTCAGCTTAAATGTGCTCACTGACTGACCTTCCTTATGCTGAGCCCAAATGGAAATTAAAGGATAGAAAGAAAAATTTAAATGCATGAAAGGGTTATTATTTGACCATTTATGGCTACTTAAGAAAATGTGAAACTCTTTTAAACTATAACTCCTCCCTTGATGAAGGCAGGCTCACCTCCACCGCTTTCACAATCTTCCACATTGAAAAATTAAGTAATGGCCACTGACGTTCCATCACCCCACCACGCAAGGGCTCCTAAGAGCTGGGTTTCTTTGCTTTTTCAAATAAATCACGTAGAGCTCAGTGACTATCTGCTTTAGCCTTGTCAAGTTTTGACATGTTTTACCAGAGGTTTGCACTTACCAACAAAAACCAAAGCTTGATTTCACATGTCCGAAATGAGTATCACTCTCTGATATGACCTGATACATGGGACAGCGAGGAATTCCCTCTCATCAGTAGTAGGTGCCTGACTGGTGAGCCTCAGGACTGTCACCGTCACGGTAAGTGCTTTTGGGGAACGTGCTGATTAAGAAACCCCAAAACACTGCGACAGGAGTGTCTTCATTCATGAATTCTACAATGGGAGGCAGTGGGAGGAATTATTTAACTCGGGGAGAGGTGACTAGTCAGCTCCAGACTACGGTGTCTCCGGAAGGGGAGGAACAACCCACTAGCAAGAGAGGAGGGAACGCTGAGCCTTCATTCCAGTTTAAAATGTGTATTTTGATCTCTAGCAGTTCAGCACCGGGCGCACCACCACCGGGCACTGTCACACCGTGGCCTGAACCTCCCGGCTCAGATGGATGGGATGCTCCCCCTCCTCCTCTCGCCAACTCCGGGCGCGAAGTGCTATTAGTGACAACTAGCTCCGTCTGGCCCCCACAGGGCCAGAGGCGGAGATGAGTAAGGGTCGGGGTCAGCCCCCTGGCCCCCTGGAGCGCGCTTGGGCCCCCGGCTCTTCACGCTCGAACTGGGGGGGGCGGCTTCCCAGAGGCTGGGGCTCCAAGGGCGTGTCCACGGTCCGGCCCCGGAGGAGCAAACGACGAGCCGCCGGCTCCCGGAGGTTCCCCCGGGCGGCGGACCTCGGGAGGGGATCCCGGCTTCGCGTCCCCGGCCCCGGGGTGCCAGCCTTACGTTCTGCTCCTTTCGCTGCAAAGTGACAACTCCCGGCCAGGCCCTGGCGAACCCCCCGAGAAACCCAGCTTGGACCCGAGAGCTGCCCCGGGCCCGGGCCCCCCGCCGCCGCCCGCCGGTGCTAGCCTCGCCCCCCGAGGCGCCTGACCTCCGAGTCTTTGCGCTGGTTGCGGTTGAACTCTCGGGCTTTGCCCCCTGGCAGGAGACCCCCGCCGGCCCGCGGTGCCCCGGGTGGCGGCTGCGCGGTTGCCGGCGGCGGAGGTGGCGGCGGCTGAGGTTGCTTGTTGTTCATGATCAGCGGGCCGGGGCCGCCGGCTGCCGGCTCCATCTTGGCTGTTCCACACCCCCGGCTCAATTCACGGACAGGATCTGTGAGGCCACTCTCGCGAGATTTCTTCCAGGAACGCGCTCTAGGCGCCATGTTCAGTGTGGCGGCCAGTGCGGAAGCCATCTTGGCTGCCCAGCACCTCGCGAGATTCCCTCTGCTTGAAATCTCGCCTTTTGGGGTCCTTTTGGTTTCCGCTTCGTTTCGGTCCCAGTTTAGATGTCCATTTATCTGTGAGGCATCCTTTAGCTCCTTCAATCATTTTATTTGCCCCCAACTTCCTTTAACATGGATTTTCATTTGTCATTTTTATAGTCCTGTTCAATCCTTAGGGGACATAGTGAACAAAATGGACACCTTTCCAGTCTCCATGGAGTTGACGTTCATATGGGGGAGATATGTTTAACAAACGAATACATCAATAAAACAATTACAGTCGTGACACAGTCATCATTCACTTAACAAACTTAGAACGTCTCCTCTGTGCTCGGTCAATTGCATCACAGTGTGTGGGAGAGACGATGAGCATAGACATGTATTAGAGGAACAGGTGCAGGAGACACGAAAAGCAGTGGCGATGGGAGGGGCATGGTGTCAGGGAGGCTGCCCAGGAAGGCAAGCCTGAGTGTGTGATCTCGCCTAAGTTCTGAAAGAAGAGCCCCGCAGAGATGCCTGGAGGCGGTGGGCAGCGACCCAGCTCACTGAAGAGGCCCTGAGGCTGGGGTGACAGGAACTGAATGAGCCAGAGGAAGCCTTGTCGGAGGTGAAGGCCAGATAATGGTGGGGCCAGATAAATGCTGGGCCTTGAAGGGCATGGAAAGGACTTTTATTCTAAGTGAAATGGAAAGCCATGGGAGGTGTTAACCAGGGAAATGTTATGGTCTGATGTTTAAAAGACCAATCTGGCTACTTTTGGAGAAGACATAGAAGAGTTGCAAGAGTGGATGGAGGTTGACAAATTAGGAGATTATACAGATGGAAATGATGGTGGTTTCCACCAGAGTGCAGCACTGGGTTGATATATTTCTATATTGTGTAGGTAGATTCAACAGGACTTGCTGAAAGGCTGGAGAGAAGAATAAAGAGTGAGTCCTAGCCCTGGCTAGTGTGGCTTAGTGGTTGGCATGTTGGCCCAAACACCAAAAGCCTGTGGGTTTGACTTCTGGTTAAGGGCATGTACCTTAACCTGTGGGTTGCAGGTTCAATCCTGGCCCCAGTCAGGGTATGTACGAGAGGCAACTGATGGATGTGCCTCTTTCACATTGATGTTTCTCCTCTCTCTCCCCCTTCCTCCCTCCTACTCTCTAAAAAAAATCAATGGAAAAAAATATCCTCGGGCAAGGATTAACAACACAAAAAAAGAATGAGTCCTAGATTTGGGGCTTGAGAAACTGGGTATGTGGTTATATTGCTTATAAAAATAGGGATATCTGGGAGAAAAAAAAACAAAACTGACTTATGGGGAAGATCAAGATTTCTGTTTTGACCATGTCAAGGTTGAGGTGCCCATTAGACATCTTTAGAGGTGATATGTAATAATTACATTACTATGCTGTGAGGTCCTTACAGGCATTTTATCCATCTTTCGCTCTCCAGAACCACATCTTGCTTAGCTGCTCCACATCTCTGAACTTAATTCTCGGAAAATCTCTGTGATGCAACTTTTGCATGATTTCAACCCAGGTCTCTCCTAGTAGGTGCTTCAATGTAAATGGGCACTTCATCCAATTTGGGCTGGACCAAGTTTATGGGAAAAACTAAGGAATTTGCAGGAAAAGGACCAATGCTGAGAGGCTTCTGAGACAAAGTCAGCAAAGCCCACATAACCCACACACAACTGTCATCTAGTTTAATGACTATAGTTTGGTGAAGTTCTAAGACTGACCTACAGTAAACTCTGTTACCTGGGGGGGAAAAATTCTGACCTCTAAAGACCCTACACTGTTTTGGCTGTATTTAGAATAGGGACAATTTTGGTTCAGTAATTTCATTTCTAGTAATAGATCCTAAGGAAAGATTTAGACAAAGATATATGTATGCTGATGTTCCAGACAGTGTTATTTTCAGTAGTGTAAAGTTGGGACCAACAAAAACAACAAATTGGACTTCATGAAAACTTTTTAAATGTGTGCATCAAAAAGGCACTATCTACAGAATAAAAGGACAACCCACAGAACGGGAGAAAATATTTCCACATCACACATCTGATAAGGGATTAATATCCAGAGTATATAGAAAACTCCTAAAGCTCAACAAAACACCCAAACAACCGCATTAAAAAAATGGCCAAAGGACTTGAATAGACATTTGCCCAAAGAAGATATACAAATAGCCAATAAGCACATGAAAAAATGCCCAACATCACTATCATCAGGAAAATTCAAATCAACACAATGAGATACCACTTCATATCCATTCAGTTGGGATGTCTACTCTCAAAAACCAGAAAACAAGTGCTAACAAGATGTGGAGAAATTTGAACCCTTGTGCATTGCAGATGGGAATGTAAAATGGTACAGCTGCTGTAGAAAATACTATGGCAGTTATATTTTTTAAAATCTAAGTTACCATATGATCCAGCAATTCCACTTCTGGGCATATACCCCAAATAATTGAAAGCAGGGTCTCAAAGAGTTATTTGCACACAGATGTTCTTAGCAGCATCTTACACAATAGCTAAAAAGCAACCCATGTCCATGGATGGATGAATGGATAAGCAAAATATGGTACATACATATAATGAAATATTATTCAGCCTTAAAAAGGGACTTCTGCAATAAGCTATAACATGAATGAACCTTGAGAACATTATGTTGAGAGATAAGCCAGTCACAAAAAGACTAATACATATAATTCCACTTATTTGAGGTACCTAGTCAAATTCTTAGAGACAGAAAGTGTAATTAATGGTAGTTGTGAGGAGATGGGGAGAGAGGGCAATGGGGAGTTGTTTAATAGATATAGTTTCAGTTTTACAGGATGAAAAGAGTGGAGGACAGATGATGGTGATGGTTGCACAACAATGTGAATATAGTCAATATTACTGAACTGTATCCTTAGAAATGCTTAAGATGGCAAATTTTATTATTTTTCCACAAAAAATTTTAAATTAAAAAATCAATTGAACATAAACATTTCTGGAAAAAAATGGTAGAGGTTGGGATCTTCATATTATTTGGTTATATTTTCATATGACATTTGAATTTGAGAGGAAAGTCAGAAAAGAGCAAAGACCTTGTTGACTAGACATTAGCAACCCCCCTGCACAGACAGGAAAAAGCCACAGGTACTAGTCTGCTCTCCATTGTACGTGTGGCAGAGAAAGGCGGTTCCCTCCTTATCATCTCTTACCATTAGACTTGAGATAAAAGTCTTTGCTTGAAAACAAATTTATACAGACCCATCCCATTGCCAAACTTCCTCGAAAGCAAGCAGTAAGAGCTAGGGCACCTCAAAGGATGCCATGCTGCTGACCTTCAGTAGGGCAGCTTGCTCCTATTATCCAGTTCAAGCTCCTTGCTAAATTCCCCACTAGATAAGTGACCCTTTGGAAGTAATGTGCCCAGACGGAAATACAAAGGCAAGAGAATCACTGAAGAAAACAGACCTTTTGTTTGGTGTTTATGCACTGAAGTAGTGGATTCAGTGATGAGTATGTGTGAGAACTTTTGTGATTTGAAACTGGCCAAATCCAGTGCACCAGGGCCCAGTTGCTTATCAGTGAATCTTGGGGTCCCAAGAGTGGGTACATTGCAAGCTGGCTCTGGCTTCAGGAAGCAGAGCTTAGTGGACTAGGAGGCAGCAGGTTCCCTGGGTTGTCAGGACTATTCAGGAAGCATGAGAAAGTCACGGCATCTGCAGTTTGGGTCTTCATGTCCACGCCGTTCTTCTGCTAAAAAAAATCTTTGCTGAAAAATGACATCCTTAGGGAAACTGCCTGAAAGTACCCTTGGGAAGCCTCAAGGTGACAGAAGAGCCACAGGGAGCCGGAAAGACTTGGGGTCAAATCCTAGCTCTATCAACCACACTGTGCCTCTGGAGAGATATTTAACTTCTTCATGTCCCAGAGAGTTTGTTTCAGTAGGTCTGGGACAGGACCTAGGAATCTGTATTTTTAACCAATCCTACATGTAACTTTGATATTAGAACCCTGGTTTGAGGCTGTTTCCTAGAATCGATATGCCCAATGGTAAGCATGGACCCTAGAGCCAGACTATCTGGGTTAATTCCAGCTCCACCAATTTAGGAGTTGTGTACCCTTGGACAAAAGTTACTTCACCCCACTGCCTCAATTTTCTCATCTGTAAAATGGGGATAACAGTAGTACCTATCTCATGGGATAATTGGGAAGATCAAGTATGCTAACTGTGCAAAGCATGTAGAATGGAGCCAGTTACACAACACTACATAAGCGTTACTTGAATTATTCTAGAGCTACAAGCCTTTATTTACAACTCCAAAATTAAAAAAACAAAAAAGACTTTCCCTGTAGTTTGGCAAAAATTAATTTGGCAGGAAAACCTGATCTGAACTGATAGGAGGCTATTAGTCATTGTTATTTTTCCCTTATTCTGTGAATATTAATAAACTTAATTGAAGAAACATTAACATTTGATACAGACTACTACTCCACATCCCCCTAATAAGTATTACCTAAAATACTGTATATTTGTGTATTTAATACAAATCTGAAATATTCTCAATTTCAAAACACAGGGGGTTCAGAAAACGGATTGTGGACTTTTATTATCCTTTGTTGGCCAGAGATCCTGCATGACAACCAGACAATGTGAGAAAATGCGCCATCTGGCGGTTGAAGTGGAGAACCATAGCTAAGGACGGCAGGATGAGGGGGCAAGGCCAGAGGATCACAGACAAAATACCTACCCTCTGGCCCACAATCCAGAACAATACTTTTTAGAGGACATTTTAAAATGTCTTCAAGGGCTGCTGTGTCAGTGCAGAAGACATCATTTCAGTTAAAAAAAATAACATGCAATTTATTAAAGCAATAAA